CAGCAGCCACAGCAGCAGCAGCAGCCCCGTCAGCAGGCTCAGAGGCCACCACAGCAGCAGCAGCAGCAGAGGGGCAGACAGCAAGCCCGGGTTTACGCAGTCGATCAGGTTGAGGCCGAGCAGCAGCCAGGTACTATGTCAGGGATGATCATGCTTAATAATATTCCTGTGTTCGCTTTATTCGATACTCGAGCGACGCACTCTTTTATTTCACGATGATGTCTTGATGCCATTGGAGTTCATACCTTTACCGCTGTCGATCCTCTCGAGGTGATTTTAGCCTCAGGACAAAAGATAGTGACCTCAGCTAAAGCTTCAGATCTCAGCCTTTCCATCGGTGGTCGTTCATTGTTTGCCGACGCGTATGTTCTTGAGATGAGGGACTTTGACCTCATTCTCGGGATGGATTGGCTATCCTTTTATCACGCAGATATCAAATGTCACGACCGGGAGATTACTCTCTATCTTCCGGGAGACGATTCGATTACCTTCTTTGGCAGCAAAAATCGATCCTTACCTCATGTTGTTTCAATGGCGAAAGCTACCAAGTTGCTGCGACGAGACAACTGCCAGGGTTATCTGGTGAGCCTTGTCGATGATTCTTAGAAAGCACGATCACCTCGCGATGTCCCAATTGTTCGTGAGTTCGTAGACGTGTTCCCAGACGAGCTTCCAAGAGGACCGCCTAACCGGCAGGTAAAGTTCTCTATCGACCTCATTCCAGGAGCCGGCTCCGTATCCAAAGCCCCATACCGTATGGCGCCGAAGGAGTTACAGGAGCTTAAGGCGCAGATTTAGGAGCTTTTACGACTCGGTTTCATCCGACCGAGCGTGTCACCTTGGGGAGCACCCGTTCTCTTTGTTAAGAAGAAGGACGGATCCATGCGCATGTGTATCGACTACCGGGATCTTAACCGGTTGTCGATCAAGAACAAGTATCCGCTTCCCAGGATTGACGATTTATTTGATCAGCTGAGGGGAGCCTGTGTATTTTCAAAGATTGATTTGCGATCAGGCTACCACCAGTTGAAGGTTAATGAGTCAGATATCGCTAAGATCGCTTTCAGGACTCGTTACGGCCATTACGAGTGTTGGAACCCACGAGGATCTCAATATGCACAAATCACAGACAAACATTCAACATA